TCATCACATATGCATAAAAGTCTGTGAATGAATGATCTATATAAAATAGAAAAAGTATAAATTATTCTCTGTTTCTATGGCAGATGTCACATGAACATGTATATTTAACAAAAAAGATTAATATAGACATTTACAAAGTATTAAATGAAGTATGCTAATATTTATTCATTTTTGCAAAAGAAAAATTTCTCGTTTAATTTTATACGTGCTTTTTACATAATTATTTTTTCGACAGTACTATGGAATAAAAATCGAACAATAATGTTTTTTTTCTGTAAAAATATAATCGCTTGAAGTGAGCAAACGAAATGACTAAATATAATTTATTTTTAGAGCTATAGATGTGTATTAATACTCTTATGACAGAAAATACAATCTCTGTCGTTTTGTCCTCGATGTCATTCAAGCTTTGCACAAAACATGCATATGTCAAGAATTAATACTAACAATGATTTATATGGCCTGAAACAGTGCTCTTTCTATAGTAAGATGTATTAAAATGTCGAGCAAATAAATAGGTTTAATATTAGATCGAGATATCATGTATCCTATCATGAAAGTATTTATAAAATAATTGAAAGAAAGAGATTGTAAACTCCTTTATATCTGTACAGAATAGAGTGCGCAAAGTGCAGACCGAAAGAAAAAGAAGGAAAGAAAAAAAAAATGTTATCAACAAAAGTGACATGAAGAATAATAAAAGTATTACTGCACATTGCATAAACATTTTTCTTCATGATGGCTACACCAATTTTCCATGCAAAGTCGACAGCACTTGAAGTTGTTAAAGGTTTTAATGCAAAACTAGATGGAAAAGTCGTAGTTATTACTGGTGCTACCTCAGGTAAATAAATCAGATAATACCAAACTCATCTTTAAAATTATTCTTTCATTTCAAGGTATTGGTGTTGAAACTGCTCGTGCATTAGCATCTACAAATGCACATGTAATTATAACAGCACGAGATATGAATAAAGGTGCACAAGTTGTTGAAGATATTAAGAAAACAACAAAGAACAATCAAGTTGAAGTAATGGAACTCGATCTTACTTCACTTCAATCAGTAAGAAATTTTGTTAAGCAATTTCAAGGACGTAAGTTACCAATCAATATTCTTATCTGTAAGTGAAATATTTTTTTGATTATTTTTGATACATTACCTGTTAATAAATTCTTTATAGGCAATGCAGGAATTATGGCATGTCCCTATTCAAAAACAGTCGATGGTTTTGAATCACAATTTGGTGTTAATCATCTGGCTCATTTTCTTCTTACTACTAGTCTTCTACCGGAACTCAAGGCAGGCAAACCATCACGTATAGTTGTTGTTAGTTCATTAGCAAATAAACGTGCTGGTATTAATTGGAATGATATTAATTGGGAAAAAAATTATGATAAATGGCTTGCATATGCTCAAAGTAAAACGGCTAATATTCTCTTCGCTAAACAACTCGATAAATTATATGCATCGGAAGGAATTCATGCCTACTCTTTACATCCAGGTGGGATTATGACCAATTTACAGAAAGATGTATCAATTGAAGAACAACGTGCAATGGGATGGTTTAAGGAAGATGGCACCACCGTTGATCTTTTCAAAAATGTTGAACAAGGCGCATCGACTAGTGTCTATGCTGCTTTAGCACCTGATCTTGATAAGCATGGCGGAGAATATCTTGAAGATTGTGCAATCAGTCAAGGAGTAAACTCAAAGGAAATATATGCGGGCATGGGAGCACATGCAATAGATATGGAAGCAGCTGAACGTTTATGGAAGTTGAGCGAAAAAATGGTTGCACCTAAATAAAAAATGAATACATCACTGGACTTGAAAACTATCTGAAAAATACCAAGAACTTTTTTGTCAAATTTTTTGATGTTTTCTGGAGAGCAAAAAAACCGAACATATCACAAGAATACATGGCAAAATACCGATATATGACAAAAAATAAGCTCTTCTTTTATTATCATCGCATAGCGCTGTTACATAACAAGACTCTTTCACTACAATACTACTGATAAAATTCTAATTTCTTGCGAAGGTATTTTTTTCGAATGAAAAGCTAAAGCCAAGTTTGTAGTGCATCGAACAGGCTTTTAAACATTAGAAAGATTTTCTTTAAACTATGTTTGTTCAATCGACGAAATGCAAAAAAAAATAAACGTAATACTGTTTCACAATTTTTCATCAACTAGTTTTGCACCATTTTAGGTATTTCAGAAATTCGGTCTTTTCTGTATATCTAATTGTTCTACACAAGAATCACGTTGCTACATCAAAACGGAAACTCATCAACTATACAGTAAGTTGGAAATAGTACAAGAATATGCACATTGCCATTAACAACGAACGCGAAAAAGAGATAGGCTATTTTTGTAGAGAATTAAGTTCTGTATCGATTGGCATGCCACCTGGTATTTTTTTGAAAAGTTTAAAATCAGATTTTGATGCAAAAATTCGATTTTGTTAAAGAACCAATGTCACATTTGCATTTAGAATGAAAAACTCCACCTAATAATGCATACAGATTTGTTCAACTCGAGAAAGCATTTTTCAAAAACTTGATCAGTCAAGTGTCGCGTTACGTGGACAAGCTGAGTTACACTAGAATAAACACCAACATTTGCTCACCCAGCAATAGACATATGTAGATAAATGTATTCGTCTCAATCATAGAGCATATTCAAAAGATTTCGTTACAGATATAACAGATATATGATTAAATATTGAAGATAGATTAGTGTTACTTACAATAACTTAATCAGATAATTTAATTGGCGATACTATTAACTTATTTAAAAAGATCGTTCAGCACCTATTGAATAAAGATCCTGTTACTCTCCTAATGAGTTTAAACATCTTTGCTGAAATTTTGGTCCTTCCATTGGGTTTGATGGAAAAGCAGTGGCTTCATATAGTAGTACTGGTACAAAAAGATACAGACAAATTGTTTTGTTTGAATAATATTCGTTTTTATTTTCCTTAACTAATATTGAATTATTTGCATTAATTCTTTATAAGAAAATCTAATTAGAGATCTGCAAGCAATAATTTCAGCATTACTAGCATATTATAAAGAACTTTGTGTACCAAGTTCTTCTTTTTCACCATTCACATCAAATCGTGTTTTTCCATATCTATTGAGGAAATGGTGTTATATCACATCATAGAGTTAAGGATGGTCTCAATTTGCGAAATGTGTCTTTCTTTATATGAATCATTTCCATCTGATTTTCGATCAGATATTATATCCATGGCTTACATTAGGAATACCAGAATTGTATAGATTCTATTTGCTTCTGCTATTTCAATTCGAAAATATAAATCTTCATCCTTTTAGATTTCGTTATAAGATAAATTTGAGATAAGCATAAATTCAGCACGATTCATTTATGCTGCAAATTAATAGTTATGCGAACTCTACGTAGAATGCAAGATCAAGTGATCAGTGGATTCATTTCTTCGAGAAAACAATAAAAAGCTGCAATATAGATGTCATATTAATTTCATAATAGCGCGGGCAGTATTTCAAAGATTCTTCAACAGCTTTCTATCTTACAAGAGGCTTCTTTGATAGTTCACAACGCGACTAAAACTAATTCGTGATGAAGCTTTCATCGTGCGCTAAGTCTCGTAGTAAAGGCTGTCACAAGTGAAAACTGACACTCAATCTGAAAGAATTTTCGTTTTTCCCTAGCAGAATTCAAGCGCGGGTTTGTTGATTATTATGCTCATCAATGACGCCCGAAAAATGATTGATTGAGTCTTGGCAATAAGTAGTGTGCATTCATTCCTACAAGTATTAAATTTTGATTTCTTTTAGTCATGCAAGAGACTGTGATCTCAAAATTGAGGATAAGCATATTGATCATTGGATGTTGGTATCAATTTTCACGCAGAGCTAATTCACTTTGTTTGTTACAAATTTTTTTCAAATCTTACTCTTACAGAAGTAAGATGTTTGTAGCACCTCACAGTCGCGAGAGAACAAAACAGAAAATGAGCTATATAGAATGCATAAAAAAAAGAAACAGAAGAAAAACAAAGAGTAGAAAAGAAAACAAAAGTGAGGTCCACAAAGCAATGTGACTACGATGTATGGAGAAAAAAACACAAGTAAAATGAAGTCGCACATGGTCGTTGTTTTTCTTTTGACATTTGCTAATGAAACTTGTCACGACGAGTGCTGTTCGATAACAAACTCGTAAACAATGATTTTAGTACTAATATTCATTGCTGTTACCTTATCGATGCTCTATCTCAAATGGAAATATTTCACTACTCACAGTCCAATACCGAGTTTATCACCTCAATTTCTATTTGGAAATTTGCTCCAATCAGGTGTTCTAAATGGTGTATCTCCTCCTCATATTTTAGCAGCATTTAAAAAACGTTTTGGCGATGTTTTTCAGTTTTGGGTCGGTCCTTCACGTTTCATTATTGTCAGTAACATTGTTGACGTTGAACACATATTCACTCATCGACATATCTATGATCAAGGTGATATATTTATCGAAAAATTTAGTGTAAGCTATCCTAATAGTCTCATTTCTACCAAAGGTTTGTTTTGACTTTTTGCTCGATAAGCATTCCAATAGGATGATTTCTAGGCGTCAACTTCAAGCGACATATCTTGTTTACTTTACCTTTATTTCGACGTGCCAGAATTATTTCCAATTTGGATTTAATTGTTGATTGCACTGATAAGCTGTTGAACACATGGCGTAATGCTAAACCGAAATCGATTCATGTCAACATTGTTGAACAATGTCAAAATCTTTTGCTGGCTATTTTTGGATTGATTGGATTTAATTATGATTTAGAGACACTCGATGGTGAAGATATATCAAAGAAAAATGAACTTATTCGAGCACTGCGAGACATGATAAGTAGTATCATGTCGATCATATATTTGCCTAAAATAGCTGCTAAGATCTACGTTACCTTGAGTCTTCGACAACGACGAGCACGAAAAGTCATCGAACGATACATCGATAAGATGATTGAACATGAATTGGCTGCCAGTCGCGAATCGGTCGTACAACGAAAGCGAACATCATTGATTGCATCATTAGTTGATGCTCTACAGAACAATCAAAAATTGGAATCAATTAAGAGTGAAGAAGAGAAGAAAGGTAAGATGCAAAATAAAAGAATTCGATTGAAATTCACTGATCATGAATTATCTTGCTTTTTTTCTTATTTGTCGATAGGTCTGTCACGAGATGAAGTTCTGGACGAAATGGTCGCGTTTTTAGTAGCTGGTTTTGAGTCAACATCATCAACCTTAGCTTGGTTCATTCATTTGATGAGTAAACATCCACAAGTACAACAAAAGATTAAAACCGAATTGATGAATGATAACAATCTGCAACGTTTATCATTGGATCGTCTCGATTCTCTGATCTACTTGGATTGTGTAATCAATGAAGTATTTCGATTCTGCCCACCAACTACTGGTACGATTCGTACATTAACAATAGATGATCGATTGCCCTCAAGTGATGTTCAGCTATTCAAAGGCGAGTCAGTACTGATCCCTTTCCATAATCTTGCCCATGATGCTCGATATTGGTCAATTGATCCGGAAATATTTTATCCTGAAAGATTTCTAGGTGAAGACAAAAATCATCATCCGTATGCATTGATTCCTTTTGGTGGTGGTCATCGTCAATGTATTGGACAAGAGCTTGCTCGATTTGAACTGAAGGTCATTGCAGCTAGATTAATGCAATATGTCACATTCGGTGATGGCGGCATTCAAGTTAATGCTGGTGGACATTCTGTAGGACTTGCTGTCATTCCGAAACATGTTGGAGTGACTATTGACGTCACCGAATGAACATAGCATCAGTTCTAGTGAATCTTGTGTTGTTTGTAAGATTGTATTTCATCATGTTTACATCAAAAAGTGCAAAATAATTTGGAGATAAGCATGAATAAATTCAAGTTTTTACATATAATACATTTTGTGTTTGAAAATAGATGCAAAAGTATTTGATTGATTTTAGCTATACATAATAAAAGATGATGCACCAAATCGATGTCGACTCGAATCCAAAGAACGACAGAGAGGTGCCTGAAAATTTAGACATCACTTAGTTTGGCTTCACGAATCTGGATATGAAAATAAGACCTGCACCATTCTGAACTCACTGATTGTACAATAAATATTTGAAGAAAATAGATGTTCATACATCGTATGCAACACTGGAGTATTAAATCGTCATAAATATCCAACATACATTATTCTGTTTACAGATTTGATCAAATCTTTCGTTTGTTTCTTTTGAGAAAGCTAATAATTCATCAGAGAGATGAGTTTATATCTGTGACTTTCTGTGTGCTCGATGCAAGTAGATAGTCTCTCAAAATACTGTCTAACAAAATTAAATTCTTGATTAGTGTAGCGGTAATGGGACACAAAAAACCTGAAATTCGTGTCTTAGACGGCAAAGTAAAACATAGTTCCAATGGAATATCTCAACCCACATTTCGTATATATCGAGTTTAAACTATGAAGGCATCTATGAATACAAAATTGATTTCTCATTTATTAATGAACCAGAAATAGAATTAGATCACAAGAGCCAGCTACAGAGACGTATAGACACTAGTACCAGCAAGTCAATTTCTTTTGACGGTTAAAGCAGGGGCGAATGGATATCAAGGTGTGTATGTAGGTTGTAAGTGTGAGTGTTGGTCGACATGACTGTGGCTTTGACTGTAATATCCATCCATGATACATGAGCAAGAGCCATCAGTTTGGGATAAGCTAAGAAAAATCTTAATTAAGCTCAAAACAAAATTTCAATAAGGTTCTATTGTAATGTATATTGATAGTTCTATATCTAATGCAGGTGTAAACTGGGTGGATGGAGGTGTGTGCGTGAAGAGAAGACGCTCACCAACACTCATATTTCAAAGCCAAGATTTTTTGATTCAGATGATATGTTCAAGTTCAAAAAAGAAAGATCATGGCATGTCTAATAACAATGATGTCTAGCGAACTCTATAAACCGCAGTTCATTTCAAAGAAAAAGAAATGTACTAGTTTAGCGCACTCTACAAATTATAGCTCGTTAGATAGAAATAGTGGAATCCAATATGTAGCGAACTCTATAAAATGCAGTTAGTTAAAAGTAATATTGAAGGTACAAGTGCTATTAAAATTATTATCAATGAATTTTTCGAAAATTTAACAACGTAAACTTGAAAGTTAAGATTGTTTAATATGTAAATAATTCAAATTAAAAAAGAGTCGAAATTGAATTCAGCAAGTTTTAAATTTCGATTTTATGTTCACAAATGAGAAGACACGATCGAAATTATATCGACCAGTGTATGGCAAGTAGGATTGAGGATGAAATTGTATTTAGTTTAAATGTGTCATCAATGTAATGTTTCTCGAAATGATATATGGAAATCAACACCCTGTATTAATGATAATATAGTGTTATCTACAGATAATAATAATAACCTGGATAAACCAATATGATTTGATTAATGAAACTGGATCAATAGATATTCATATAATAGATTATGAAATTACGTAGCATAATCATTCACCTCAACAAGATGAGACTATAGATCGATTGATAACACAAGAAGTTGTGAACCATTCGGTGAAGTCAATGAAAGAGACGAAAAAGATAATTTTGTTATGTAGTTGATGTATATGAATTTTTCATGAATTCAAATCCATCTTGTAATAGTCCCGAAAAGTCACAACACTAACAATATGCCAAAAGTAATCCTCAACGGCTATATTTCATTATAAATATGGGTATGTCTGAAGGTGGTAAACACCTAATTCATCTACTTCGAGGTCTGAAAGTTAGTAAATCTCCAATATGATGATTTTTATCATACATACAAAGTATTTGACTAACATCAAATTATTTTTCGACTTCAACAGCAAAACAATTATCAACACTTAATATAAGAACTATGCTGATGAATAAGTTATCGGTTCATTATGTCAAGTCGAATTAGATTCAAAAAGTAAAAAACTTTATATCATCTCCATAATTTGAAAACGACTATGATACTTATTTTTACGCTTCATACTTCATAATTATCTTAGCGTCAATTCTAACAAGATGGATGAAAAATAGGCAAGCTTATAAAGAAAAAAAAATCGTACTCATGATAATAATGAAAATTATGATACAACATTAGAGCGATCATTCCAAAGCTTATTAGTGTTATATTATAAAAGAAATTAATTCAATCTGTTATTGCACGTGGATCGAATAAGCTTGTGCAAAACAAAGAAATTAAAAATGTCGTTATTTACTCGTTCAGTTATTCAATTACTACCCATACTACGTTACTGTAAAGACTATATACCACTTACATCTATATGGGTGTTGCACAGAGCTGACGTTACAGATTTGAAAGATGAAACCCTTTGGATGTTGAAGTTGTCAAAGGAAAACGGTATGTTTATTGTCATTACTATTTTTTGCGTCGGAATCAAAGAGGGATGAGGGTGAAACGGATAATTAGACTATAGTAACAATTACGAGTCTGCAATTTTCAACAAACTAAGAAAAAGGCAAATGGAAGCTTTCCATACGCCAAAGTGTAAGGAAAAGTCATTTCAAAATAAATCATCTATGTGAAATGTTTTAAAAATCAATAACGCTACCATGTTGTTTCGATGAACTTTTGATTCTTACATGCATCTTAGTGTCTACGTTTTCTACGATTGGAAGTCTTGTGGGTGTAAATCAGATTCTTACGATTTGTTCCAAATAATTCAGCGAAATAATATAC